ATCATTCATTCACAATAAATCAGCAGTCTAATGTAATGCAAATCAGTTTAATAAGTGTAATAGTTATCACCTTCTTCTAATTCAGGAGAATAATGCAAACTAAACCTACATAATGATTTCACAAGCTTTAATTAGTGGCATAAGATAATATAATAATCTCACACCATTCAGGGTGTCTCTCATCGACTAGCAGCTATGATCTGGACTCTGGCTAAGGAGCTCCATTTAAGAATAAAAGCTTAGATGTTCAACAAGTTACCAGTCAGATAAGGAAAGCTACTTTATGACACTGAAACCTCAAACTCAAAGCTGACTCTGCTAACCTGACTGTAACGCACCAGCCTGGTACTGTAGGGGTGGGAAACACTTCCTGTTTACTGTGAAGCAGAAGCTTTTTATTAAGAGAAGTCACAGGAAGATACCGATCATATCAGTTTGATTTATATAACTCTGAATCACAACAACAGTGGCCTCTGCTTTACAGTGTCAGGTATTATCAAGCAAAGACCTCAAACACCTTTATTTGATGCTCCTCGGGTACCTTTGCTGTCAGTGTCAATTTAAACTTCAAATAAAAGTAAAATCATTACATTGTGAAAGTAAACATATCGAGGAACCACTGAGCTTTCAGACAGTTTCAACAAGATTGCTACAATTCATCCCAAACACACATCTGAGTTTCAAAGTGCAGAAAGATTTGAACATGGGCAAACATTAAAGTCAAGATTAAAATAAAGAAGAACCAGAAACAAGAAGAATTTAAGTTTTATAGGAGGCAAAATATGAAAACACTGGGCTCAATAAAATTAAAAGAATATTACAAAATAAAATAGTTCAAAGGTGAAAACTATGCTAAAGGAGGAGCTTAAATCTAAACTGAATGCAGTGATTGATCATGTGAGATGATCAAGATTCTCTCCATCAGTCCTTTTGGCAGCAGCTGGTCCAGCATGTGCTGCAGAGGACGTTCAGTAGCTGTTGCAGGACTCCACTGTGTTCAAACTGAGTATTTCCTCAGTGAGTAAAACTGATGCTCTTTGATGTTCAGGCCACAGAAACACTCACAGTAACACGTCTGGGATTACATCAGGTTTTGGTCTCAACGTAAAGGTTCAGATTCAAATCAATCAAAAGGTCCAAAACTCGAAACACACACACAAAAAAGCAGCAGCAGACATGAACACCTATGCTTGTACGTGTTTCCTCAGCAGCAATAATATGTATTTAAAAATGTATTAAAATTTGATCGTAACTACGAGTTATAAAGAATGATTTTTATTAACCGTCATCTGTCACCGGGGCGATCGTGGCTCAAGAGTTGGGAGTTCGTCTTGTAATCGGAAGGTTGCCGGTTCGAGCCCCGGCTTGGACAGTCTCGGTCGTTGTGTCCTTGGGCAAGACACTTCACCCGTTGCCTGCTGGTGGTGGTCAGAGGGCCCGGTGGCGCCAGTGTCCGGCAGCCTCGCCTCTGTCAGTGCGCCCCAGGGTGGCTGTGGCTACATGTAGCTGCCATCACCTGTGTGGGTGGATGACTGGATGTGTAAAGTGCTTTGGGGTCCTTAGGGACTAGTAAAGCGCTGTATAAATACAGGCCATTTACCATCTGCAGACTGATTTTTGTCATTTCCTTTAGAAACAAACATTTCCACCATGAATCGATGCTGCAGAGCTAACAGTAGTGTATAAAAAGTCACCATAATATCTTTTATAATATCTTAGCACCACAATAGCTGCTGTCGAAACATTAAACTCTTCCAGAAATTATGCTTGAATGATATCAGTATTATGTTTTCTCCTCTAAAGGATCCATAATAATTTGTCAGGTAAAAAAATATCAGCTCCAGACTTAATAACACGACTTTAACAGACGTAGAAACTGGCTGATGACCTGATTTGTTGTTCACCCAAACATCATCACCAGAGTCTGAGCATCATGTGCCTCCAGCTGATACTATATTCAGATTGTTGTTAATAGTTCTCGTACTTTTTCTTCTTCCTGAAAGTGAAAAATACAAGAAGTAAGAAACAGAGTAGTTGGAGTAAAGTAATAGATGAGACTGTTACTGTTTCTTCTTTGGAAAACCAGAAGTGTCTGATCTGTCTGGAACTATTGATTCCAGAGGAAGAACTTACTGGATTATACTGAACAGTCAATACGTTTGATGTGCTTGTAACACTTTACTGTTCACTTGTCTGCCAATAACCTTTATGAACAATATGAAGGAAGTATGACCAGCTGAACAGATGAAACTATTTGTGCTGAACATGTGTACAGGTGTAGTTTGACATAAAGAAACAGAATAGTACTCTGAGATCCAAAGACAAATGTAAAAAGATAATTACCTATAATAAAAAAGAAAAAGACACAAATGCTTACCTTGTCTGAAGATACTTGATAACTTGATGATAAAAGCAGCAAGTATGATCACAACCAACAGGACACAGATTATAATGAGGATGTTATCTGTCAAACAGGAAATCAGATGTCAGCAAACACAGTGAACAACATGTTTAAAATCACAGTTGGAAATAATCTCACAGTTTCTTGGTTCAGTCGAGCTGTTGGTGTCGTTGTTGTTGGTGTCTCCACAGGTGGTTCTCACATGGACAGGAAGAGTTTTCTCCTCTGCAGAGTTTGCAGCCACACATCTCTTTCCACTCACTTTCTTCACTGCAGGAGTCGGTACAGAGTCTGGAGACGAAAGTTGATGGAGAACAAAAATCAGTCAAGACAACAAATCACATTAGAAAGTATTCTTTTACTGTAAAATCAGCTGCAGGCTGAGGTCAGGCTCTGGTACAAAGATGCTGCTGATATGGAGACCATTAGAAATGAGCAGCAGGAGGATGAAGGTGGAGGAAACAAAACAGCAACACACTGAAAGGTACTCATTCATTACTGAGAGGTCCTTCTGCACTTTCCTATTAGGACCCATCAGTTGGGCTCATTATTACATCATCATAATGATGTCATCATTGAACTTCAGACTAATTGTTTGAATTTGTCACATTTGAAGCACACGTGTATCTGAACAGAGACCAAGGTGCTTTATTTTGTAAGGTACAGACAGTAATACAGAGAAAACCTCAACAGTCAAATGAGCCTGTTTGAGAAAGCCTTTGGCAACAGTGGGAAGGAAAAACTTCATTTTAACAGGAAGAAACCTGAAGCAGAACCAGGCTCAGGGAGGGGCGGCTGCTATTCAATTCAATTTTATTCAATTTTATTTATATAGCGCCAAATCACAACAAAAGTTGCCTCAAGGCGCTTCATATAATAACTTACTATAATAATAATTACTATAATATACTGCTAGCTGCCAGTGTACTAAAGAAGACAATTCAAAGACGGCTATGTTTGTTAAAGTCTCGTTCTCATTAACAACAACAAAACATAAATAAAACAAACATTAGGTCCAGTGTAAACTCTGCCATAACTTTGTACAGATCAGTAATGTTGGTGAAAACACTGAAGTCAAAGCTGATTATTCCTTTCACACCAGACATTTGTGGGATTATAAGAACAAAAAGCTGTTTTTATTCTGAAGTGATGATATGACCAAACTAATGAGGAACATACAGACTGAGGTCACATATGGAGCTGGGATGTTACACAAAAATATACCAGAATAAATGTGAGACTTACCGTACACTGTGAGCTCATATGATGATGTGAAAACTTTTCCTGTTTTAGACTGAATGACATAAATCCCTGAGTCGTCCCTCTGCAGCTCTGTGAGTGTAAAGAGTCCAGAGTTTCTGTCCCACTGAAGTCTGTTCTTGTACTTTTCCACAAATACTTGAAATTCCCCCTTAATCACATGAGCAATATTCTTTCTTTCATATGACAGAAATCCTACGTCTTTCTCCTGCACAGAGTCAGGTAGAGTGATGTTTCCTCCCACAGTGCCCGTCAGGTTCTTCTTCACTTCCTCAGAAGCAGAAAATCTCATCACTGTAAAATATGAAGAGATCCAACAGTCAGTGAGAAC